ACACAGAGACGCATAGAGACTCATAGACATACATAGATATACACAGAGACCCATAGACATACATAGAGACCCATAGAGATACATAGAGACCCATAGAGATACATAGACATACATAGAGACCCATAGAGATACATAGACATACATAGAGACCCATAGAGATACACAGAGACCCATAGAGATACATAGAGATACATAGAGACCCATAGAGATACACAGAGACCAATAGACATACATAGAGACCCATAGAGATACACAGAGACCCATAGAGATACATAGACATACATAGAGACCCATAGAGACCCATAGAGATACATAGAGACCCACAGAGATACATAGACATACATAGAGACCCATAGACATACATAGAGACCCATATAGACCCATAGAGATACATAGAGACCCATAGAGATACATAGAGATACACAGAGACTCATAGAGATACATAGAGACCCATATAGACCCATAGAGATACATAGAGACACATAGAGACTCATAGAGATACATAGAGACCCATAGACATACATAGAGACCCATATAGACACAGACATACATAGAGACACCCATATAGACCCATAGACATACATAGAGACCCATAGAGATACATAGAGACCCATAGACATACATAGAGACCCATAGAGATACATAGAGACCCATAGCGATACATAGAGATACACAGAGACTCATAGACATACATAGAGACCCATATAAACCCATAGAGATACACAGAGACCCATAGAGGTACATAGAGATACATAGAGACCCATAGAGATACATAGACATACATAGAGACCCATAGACATACATAGAGACCCATATAGACCCATAGACATACATAGAGACCGATAGAGATACATAGAGACCCATAGACATACATAGAGACCCATATAGACCCATAGACATACATAGAGACCGATAGAGATACATAGAGACCCATATAGACCCATATAAATACATAGAGACCCATAGAGATACATAGAGACCCATAGAGATACATAGACATACATAGAGACCCATAGACATACATAGAGACCCATATAGACCCATAGAGATACATAGAGACCCATAGAGATACACAGAGACCCATCAGCCTCAAATGAGTACCTAGTGCGGTGTAGTAAACATCGCCACTAGGGAGACAAAGGCGGTCGGGCGTGGTGCTGGCCACCCACCCCTTCGTGTGCCGTTACGGCCTTCATAGGTGCTCGCTAACAGCACTTGCCCCTACAGTCTGTTAAGGCTATTGGGGGGATCTTTGTCTTTGTTTGTCTGTGTGTGTGTCTGTGTGTAGGTGAGTCTCTGTGTGTGTGTCTGTGTGTAGGTGAGTCTCTGTGTGTGTGTCTGTGTGTAGGTGAGTCTCTGTGTGTGTGTGTAGGTGAGTCTCTGTGTGTCTGTGTGTAGGTGAGTCTCCCTGTGTGTGTCTGTGTGTAGGTGAGTCTCTGTGTGTGTATCTGTGTGTAGGTGAGTCTCTGTGTGTGTGTCTGTGTGTATGTGAGTCTCTGTGTGTGTGTCTGTGTGTAGGTGAGTCTCTGTGTGTGTCTGTGTGTAGGTACGTCTCTGTGTGTCTGTGTTTAGGTGAGTCTGTGTGTGTGTGTCTGTGCGTAGGTGAGTCTCTGTGTGTGTGTCTGTGTGTAGGTGAGTCTCTGTGTGTGTATCTGTGTGTAGGTGAGTCTCTGTGTGTGTATCTGTGTGTAGGTGAGTCTCGGTATGTGTGTCTGTGTGTAGGTGAATCTCTGCGTGTGTATCTGTGTGTAGGTGAGTCTCTGTGTGTGTGTCTGTGTGTAGGTGAGTCTCTGTGTGTGTGTGTCTGTGCGTAGGTGAGTCTCTGTGTGTGTGTCTGTGTGTAGGTGAGTCTCTGTGTGTGTGTCTGTGTGTAGGTGAGTCTCTGTGTGTGTGTCTGTGTGTAGGTACGTCTCTGTGTGTCTGTGTTTAGGTGAGTCTCTGTGTGTGTGTCTGTGCGTAGGTGAGTCTCTGTGTGTGTGTCTGTGTGTAGGTGAGTCTCTGTGTGTGTGTCTGTGTGTAGGTGAGTCTCTGTGTGTGTGTCTGTGTGTAGGTGAGTCTCTGTGTGTGTATCTGTGTGTAGGTGAGTCTCTGTGTGTGTGTGTGTGTAGGTGAGTCTCTGTGTGTCTGTGTGTAGGTGAGTCTCCCTGTGTGTGTCTGTGTGTAGGTGAGTCTCTGTGTGTGTATCTGTGTGTAGGTGAGTCTCTGTGTGTGTGTCTGTGTGTAGGTGAGTCTCTGTATGTGTGTCTGTGTGTAGGTAAGTCTCTGTGTGTGTGTCTGTGTGTAGGTACGTCTCTGTGTGTCTGTGTTTAGGTGAGTCTCTGTGTGTGTGTCTGTGTGTAGGTGAGTCTCTGTGTGTGTGTCTGTGTGTAGGTGAGTCTCTGTGTGTGTGTCTGTGTGTAGGTGAGTCTCTGTGTGTGTGTGTCTGTGTGTAGGTGAGTCTCTGTGTGTGTGTCTGTGTGTAGGTGAGTCTCTGTGTGTCTGTGTGTAGGTGTGTGTCTGTGTGTCTGTGAGTGTCTGTGTGTCTGTGTGTAGGTGAGTGTCTGTGTGTGTGTGTCTGTGTGTAGGTGAGTCTCTGTGTGTGTGTGTCTGTGTGTAGGTGAGTCTGTGTGTGTGTATCTGTGTGTAGGTGAGTCTCTGTGTGTGTGTCTGTGTGTAGGTGAGTCTCTGTGTGTGTGTGTCTGTGTGTAGGTGAGTCTCTGTGTGTGTGTGTCTGTGTGTAGGTGAGTGTCTGTGTGTAGGTGAGTCTCTGTGTGTCTGTGTGTAGGTGAGTGTCTGTGTGTGTAGGTGAGTGTCTGTGTGTCTGTGTGTAGGTGAGTGTCTGTGTGTCTGTGTGTAGGTGAGTGTCTGTGTGTGTGTGTCTGTGTGTAGGTGAGTCTCTGTGTGTGTGTGTCTGTGTGTAGGTGAGTCTCTGTGTGTGTGTGTCTGCGTGTAGGTGAGTCTCTGTGTGTGTGTGTCTGTGTGTAGGTGAGTCTCTGTGTGTGTGTGTCTGTGTGTAGGTGAGTCTCTGTGTGTGTGTCTGTGTGTAGGTGAGTCTCTGTGTGTGTGTGTCTGTGTGCAGGTGAGTCTCTGTGTGTGTGTGTCTGTGTGTAGGTGAGTCTCTGCGTGTGTGTGTCTGTGTGTAGGTGAGTCTCTGTGTGTGTGTGTCTGTGTGTAGGTGAGTCTCTGTGTGTGTGTGTCTGTGTGTAGGTGAGTCTCTGTGTGTGTGTGTCTGTGTGTAGGTGAGTCTCTGTGTGTGTGTGTCTGTGTGTAGGTGAGTCTCTCTCTCCCCCTCACAGCTACAACTCAAAGCTCACTGCAAGCAGCAGATGGCACGGGGCTCACGTTACACAACGCCAATCAAAGTGCCACCGCTCCACAGACAAAGCTCACCTAGGTAGCCTCTAACAGGGCTGTAGGGGCAAGTGCTGTTGGCTAGCGAGTAGCAGCAGCAGTGTCTATGTACTACACACACCACACACATAGACAAAGCTCCCCTAGGTAGCCTCTAGCAGGGCTGTAGGGGCAAGTGCTGTTAGCTAGCGAGTAGCAGCAGCAGTGTCTATGTACTACACACACCACACACACAGACAAAGCTACCCCCAGGTAGCCTCTAACAGGGCTGTAGGGGCAAGTGCTGTTAGCTAGCGAGTAGCAGCAGCAGTGTCTATGTACTACACACACCACACATAGACAAAGCTCCCCCAGGTAGCCTTTAGCAGGGTTGTAGGGGCAAGTGCTGTTAGCTAGCGAGTAGCAGCAGCAGTGTCTATGTACTACACACACCACACACACAGACAAAGCTCCCCCAGGTAGCCTCTAGCAGGGTTGTAGGGGCAAGTGCTGCTAGCTAGCGAGTAGCAGCAGCAGTGTCTATGTACTACACACACCACGCACACAGACAAAGCTCACCCAGGTAGCCTCTAGCAGGGCTGTAGGGGCAAGTGCTTGTTAGCTAGCGAGTAGCAGCAGCAGTGTCTATGTACTACACACACCACACACAGATAAAGCTCCCCCAGGTAGCCTCTAGCAGGGCTGTAGAGGCAAGTGGTGTTAGCTAGCGAGTAGCAGCAGCAGTGTCTATGTACTACACACACCACGCACACAGACAAAGCTCACCCAGGTAGCCTCTAGCAGGGCTGTAGGGGCAAGTGCTTGTTAGCTAGCGAGTAGCAGCAGTATCTATGTACTACACACCACACACAGTGCGCTAACCAGGGCACCACCACTCTCCACATACATAATTACACACACTATATATATACACAGTTACACACACACTATATACACACAATATAGGTGAGTGAGTCGGTGAGTGAATGAGTGAATGATTGAGTTAGTGAGTGGTTGAGCGAGTGAGTGAGCGAGTGAGTGGTTGAGTGAGTGAATAAGTGAGTGAATGAGTGAGCGGTTGAGTAAGTGAATGATTGAGTTTAGTGAGTGGTTGAATGAGTGGTTGAATGAGTGAGTGGTTGAATGAGTGAGTGAGTGAATGAGTGAGTGAGTGAATGAGTGATTGAATGAGTGAGTGGTTGAGTGGTTGAGTGAGTGAATGAGTGAATGAGTGAGTGAATGAGTGAACGAGTGAGTGAAGAAGTGAGTGGTTGAGTGAGTGAGTGATTGATCGGGTGAGTGTTTGAGTGAGTGAGTCAATGAGTGAATTAATGAGTGAATTAATAAGTGAGTGAATGAGTGAGTGGTTGAATGAATGAGTGAATGAGTGAGTGGTTGAGTTAGTGAGTGAATGAGTGAGTCGATGAGTGAGTGAATGAGTGAGTGAATGAGTGAGTGAATGAGTGAATGAATGAGTGAATTAGTGAATGAGTGAGTTAATGAGTGAGTGAATGAGTGAGTGACTGAGTGAATGACTGAGTTGAATGAATGAGTGAATGAATGAGTGAATGAGTGAGTGAATGAGTGAGTCAATGAGTGCGTGAGTGAATGAATGAGTGAGCGACTGAGTGAATGACTGACTGAGTGAATGAATGAGTGAATGAATGAATGAGTTGAATGAGTCAACTCACGTGGTCCCTGGCCAGTCCCAGCCAGGTCTTCATCAAGAGACGCATTCGCGTCGCGTGGAACTTCCAGGAAGTCTTCACGGCCACGAACACATCCGTCACGCGGAGCGATTCGCCATCGGCATCATCATCAGCAGCCCCACCACCACCAGAATCATCATCAGCAGCATCATCAGCAGCATCAGCAGCAGCAACATCAGCAGCGCGAGATCGCAGTGATAGGATGGATGAGAGTGAACGCGGTGATGATGGTGGTGGTGGTGGTGGTTTGGGTGCTGATGATGCTGCTGCTGATGATGATGATGCTGATGATGATGCTGATGACAGTAGTGATGACAGAGAGGATTTCAGCAGCGCTGACAGTGATGCCACTGCTGATGATGATGATGATGCTGCTCTTGCTGCTGTTACTGCTGATGATGCAGATGATGATGGTGGTGGTGGTGGTGGGGCCGCTGTTGATGCTGCTGCTGCTGATGATGCTACTGCTGATGATGATGCTGCTCTTGCTGCTGATGCTGCTGCTGATGGTGGTGGCGGTGGGGCCGATCTTGAGGCTGCTGCTGCTGATGATGATGATGCTGCTCTTGCTGATGCTGCTCTTGCTCTTGCTGCTGATGCTGCTGCTGATGATGGTGATGCTGATGATGGTGCTTCTGATGCTGCTGCTCTTGCTGATGCTGCTGCTGCTCTTGCTGCTGCTGCTCTTGCTGCTGCTGCTGATGATGCTGCTGCTCTTGCTGCTGCTGCTGATGAAGGTGATGCTGCTGCTGCTCTTGCTGCTGCTAATGCTGCTGATGGTGCTGCTGCTGCTGATGTTGATGGTAGTGCTGCTGCTGCTGTTGCTGCTGCTGATGATGCTGCTGATGATGATGATGGTAGTGCTGCTGCTGCTGATGATGCTGCTGCTGATGATGCTGATGATGCTGCTGCTGCTGATGATGATGGTAGTGCTGCTGCTGCTGATGGTGCTGCTCTTGCTGCTGATGCTGCTGCTGATGCTGCTGATGATGCTGATGATGATGCTGCTGCTGCTGTTCTCGTGCCCACCACGGCAGCGGCGTCTCCGAGACCACGTGGTCGCCTCCGTGCCCTCGAGCGGCCGGGCGGCAGCGGCCACGGGGCCACGGGCGGCCCGCGGGCAGCCACGGGCCTCGTCGGTTCGACGCCGGCACGGGGCCCCTGGCTACCAGCATCGCCACCACCACCACCACCATCATCACCAGCATCACCACCAGCATCGCCACCACCACCACCATCATCACCAGCATCACCAGCACCACCAGCAGCACCACCACCACCACCAGCATCACCACCATCATCGCCACCAGCACCAGCACCACCACCCGCACCACCACCAGCACCACCACCAGCACCACCACCAGCACCACCACCATCACCACCATCACCAGCAGCACCACCATCACCACCAGCACCAGCACCACCACCATCACCACCATGACCACCATCACCACCATCACCACCAGCACCAGCACCACCACCATCACCACCATGACCACCACCATGACCACCACCACCACCAGCAGCACCACCAGCAGCACCACCACCACCACCATCACCACCAGCACCAGCACCACCGGGCAGCCTCATCAGAGCTGCGAGGGTGACCACCAGCGTGAGTGACACCGCTAGCACCATGGACAGCTTGCCTGACGAGGTCCGCATTGTCGCCTCTTAAGTTCGCTACAAAACTCCCCCCCCCTACCCCTGCAACTGAATTTTCTGCGTGTTTTATATTTTTGTTTAAATAAAAAAAATCAATCAACTCGCTTAGGGGGGGGGGGTTGGGTGGTTTTGGTTCGATCTGATCAGCCTGTGCGTGCGAGCCGAGCCGATCAGAGAGGCAAGCGTCGATATTGAATAGAACGGCGAACGCAGAGCCAGACAGCAACCACAGTCAGCCCTGGGCTGACTGAATGAGCCGATGGCCTTGAGGAGGTCTCCCTTATATAGACTCGGCCCCGCCCCACACCACTGCGGACACACCCACAACCACCCTCGTCCCGCCCTCTGGCCCCGCCCCCAACCTCCACAACCAATGAGGACACGCCCACACACCCACAACCACCCTCGCCCCGCCCTCCGGCACTGCTCAGGTACTTTCAAGTCTATCCCCTCACCACAGGACCACGCCCATTGTGGACCCCCCCACAGCTTACCACCCACTTTGACCTCAGCCAGCCAATCAGCGTTCTCTACCCCCACACTCACCACAGTGGAGGGGGGAGGGAGACTCCGCCCATAACAGGCTCCACCCCCCCCTCTGTTGCCTCAGCCAGCCAATCAGCGCCATCCTCATCACAGGAAGGGGGAAACTCCCTTTGACCCGCCCCACTTTCACCTCAACCAGCCAATCAGCGCATCCCCACACAGCCTGTGGATCTTTGTGGGTCTCTGTGGGTCTCTATGATTCTATTTAAGTTTATTTTTCAGTTTATTTATTTTTGGTATATATATGGGTCTCTATGGGTCTCTGTGGGTCTCTATGGGTCTCTGTGGGTCTCTATGGGTCGCTGTGGGTCTCTAAGGGTGTCTATGGGTCTCTGTGGGTCTCTAAGGGTCTCTGTGGGTCTCTGTGGGTCTATGTGATTCTATTTAAGTTTATTTTTCAGTTTATTTATTTTTGGTATATATATGGGTCTCTATGGGTATCTATGGGTCTCTGTGGGTCTCTATGGGTGTCTATGATTCTATATGGGTCTCTGTGGGTCTCTCTGGATCTAAGTGGGTCTCTATGAGTATGGGTCTCTATGAGTATGGGTCTCTGTGGGTCTTTATGATTCTATATGGGTCTCTGTGGGTCTCTATGATGCTATATGGGTCTCTATGATTCTATATGGGTGTCTATGAGTATGGGTCTCTATGGGTCTCTGTGGGTCTCTATGAGTCTCGCAGGATCTCTGTGGGTCTTTATGAGTCAATGTTAAAGTCTCCCATAGACTTCAATATTAAAGTCTCCCCATAGACTTCAATGTTAAAGTCTCCCATAGACTTCAATGTTAAAGTCTCCCCATAGACTTCAATGTTAAAGTCTCCCATAGACTTCAATGTTAAAGTCTCCCATAGACTTCAATGTTAAAGTCTCCCCATAGACTTCAATGTTAAAGTCTCCCATAGACTTCAATGTTAAAGTCTCCCATAGACTTCAATGCTAAAGTCTCCCATAGACTTCAGTGTTAAAGTCTCCCCATAGACTTCAATGCTAAAGTCTCCCATAGACTTCACTGTTAAAGTATCCCATAGACTTCAGTGTTAAAGGCTCCTATAGATTTCAATGTTAAAGTATCCCCATAGACTTCAATGTTAAAGTCTCCCATATACTTCAATGTTAAAGTCTCCCATAGACTTCAGTGTTAAAGTCTACCATAGACTTCAGTGTTAAAGTCTCCCATAGACTTCAATGTTAAAGTCTCCCATAGACTTCAATGTTAAAGTCTCCCATAGACTTCAGTGTTTAAGGCTCCCATAGACTTCAATGTTAAAGTCTCCCCATAGACTTCAATGTTAAAGTCTCCCATAGACTTCAATGTTAAAGGCTCCCATAGACTTCAATGTTAAAGTCTCCCATAGACTTCAATGTTAACGTCTCCCCACAGACTTCAATGTTAAAGTGTCCCATAGGCTTCAATGTTGAAGTCTCCCCATAGACTTCAATGTTAACGTCTCCCCACAGACTTCAATGTTAAAGTGTCCCATAGGCTTCAATGTTGAAGTCTCCCCATAGACTCCAGTGTTAAAGTCTCCCATAGACTTCAGTGTTAAAGTCTCCCCATAGACTTCAATGTTAAAGTTTCCCCATATATATTCTTAGTTTTTTCGGTAAAGTCACGTTGAAGAGAAACAACAAAATAACAAAATATATAAAACAATAAAAAATTCTCACGACGTTTCGACCATAACTCAAACGGTTGTTTCTCTTCAACGTGACTTTACCGAAAAAACTAAGAATATGAATTACTGCAGTCACGAAAGCTTTAAATCAAAATTTTTCCCCATATACTTCAATGTTAAATTCTCCCATAGACTTCAATGTTAAAGTCTCCCATAGACTTCAATGTTAAAGTATCCCATATACTTCAATGTTAAAGTCTCCCATAGACTTCAGTGTTAAAGTCTCCTATAGACATCAATGTTAAAGTCTCCCATAGACTTCAATGTTAAAGTCTCCCATAGACTTCAGTGTTGAAGTCTCCCATAGACTTCAATGTTAAAGTCTCCCATAGACTTCAATGTTAAAGTCTCCCATAGACGTCTATGTTAAAGTCTCCCATAGACTTCAATGTTAAAGTCTCCCCATAGACGTCAATGTTAAAGTCTCCCATAGGCTTCAGTGTTAAAGGCTCCCATAGATTTCAATGTTAAAGGCTCCCATAGGCTACAATGTTAAAGTCTCCCCATAGACTTCAATGTTAAAGGCTCCCATAGACTTCAGTGTTAAAGTATCCCATAGACTTCAGTGTTTAAGGCTCCCATAGACTTCAATGTTAAAGTCTCCCCATAGACTTCAGTGTTAAAGTCTCCCATAGACTTCAGTGTTAAAGGCTCCCATAGACTTCAATGTTAAAGTCTCCCCATAGACTTTAATGTTAAAGTCTCCCATAGACTTCAATGTTAAAGTCTCCCCATAGACTTCAGTGTTACAGACTCCCATAGACTTCAATGTTGAAGTCTCCCCATAGACTTCAATGTTAAAGTCTCCCATAGACTTCAATGTTAAAGTCTCCCCATAGACTTCAGTGTAACAGACTCCCATAGACTTCAATGTTGAAGTATCCCATAGACTTCAATGTTAAAGTCTCCCATAGACTTCAATGTTAAAGTCTCCCATAGACTTCAGTGTTAAAGGCTCCCATAGACTCCAGTGTTAAAGTCTCCCATAGACTTCAGTGTTAAAGTCTCCCCATAGACTTCAATGTTAAAGTTTCCTCATATACTTCAATGTTAAATTCTCCCATAGACTTCAATGTTAAAGTCTCCCATAGACTTCAATGTTAAAGTATCCCATAGACTTCAATGTTAAAGTCTCCCATAGACTTCAGTGTTAAAGTCTCCCATAGACATCAATGTTAAAGTCTCCCATAGACTTCAATGTTAAAGTCTCCCATAGACTTCAGTGTTAAAGTTTCCCCATATACTTCAATGTTAAATTCTCCCATAGACTTCAATCTTAAAGTCTCCCATAGACGTCTATGTTAAAGTCTCCCATAGACTTCAATGTTAAAGTCTCCCCATAGACGTCAATGTTAAAGTCTCCCATAGGCTTCAGTGTTAAAGGCTCCCATAGATTTCAATGTTAAATGCTCCCATAGGCTACAGTGTTAAAGTATCCCATAGACTTCAGTGTTTAAGGCTCCCATAGACTTCAATGTTAAAGTCTCCCCATAGACTTCAATGTTAACGTCTCCCCACAGACTTCAATGTTAAAGTGTCCCATAGGCTTCAATGTTGAAGTCTCCCCATAGACTCCAGTGTTAAAGTCTCCCATAGACTTCAGTGTTAAAGTCTCCCCATAGACTTCAATGTTAAAGTTTCCCCATATATATTCTTAGTTTTTTCGGTAAAGTCACGTTGAAGAGAAACAACAAAATAACAAAATATATAAAACAATAAAAAATTCTCACGACGTTTCGACCATAACTCAAACGGTTGTTTCTCTTCAACGTGACTTTACCGAAAAAAACTAAGAATATGAATTACTGCAGTCACGAAAGCTTTAAATCAAAAATTTTCCCCATATACTTCAATGTTAAATTCTCCCATAGACTTCAATGTTAAAGTCTCCCATAGACTTCAATGTTAAAGTATCCCATATACTTCAATGTTAAAGTCTCCCATAGACTTCAGTGTTAAAGTCTCCCATAGACTTCAATGTTAAAGTCTCCCATAGACTTCAATGTTAAAGTCTCCCATAGACGTCTATGTTAAAGTCTCCCATAGACTTCAATGTTAAAGTCTCCCCATAGACGTCAATGTTAAAGTCTCCCATAGGCTTCAGTGTTAAAGGCTCCCATAGATTTCAATGTTAAAGGCTCCCATAGGCTACAATGTTAAAGTCTCCCCATAGACTTCAATGTTAAAGGCTCCCATAGACTTCAGTGTTAAAGTATCCCATAGACTTCAGTGTTTAAGGCTCCCATAGACTTCAATGTTAAAGTCTCCCCATAGACTTCAGTGTTAAAGTCTCCCATAGACTTCA